TTTATAAAACTAAACAGTTATAATCATACCTCCCTGCTGGCCAAAGGTAACCCGACTCTCACCCATACCTCTCTGCTGGCCAAAGGTAACCCGACTCGCACCCATACCTCCCTGCTGGCCAAAGGTAACCCGACTCGCACCCATACCTCCCTGCTGGCCAAAGGTAAGCCGACTCTTTCTTTAAAACTCGCACCCATACCTCCCTGCTGGCCAAAGGTAACCCGACTCTTTCTTTAAAATTCGCACCCATACCTCCCTGCTGGCCAAAGGTAACCCGACTCTCACCCATACCTCTCTGCTGGCCAAAGGTAAGCCGACTCTTTCTTTAAAACTCGCACCCATACCTCCCTGCTGGCCAAAGGTAAGCCGACTCTTTCTTTAAAATTCGCACCCATACCTCCCTGCTGGCCAAAGGTAACCCGACTCTCACCCATACCTCCCTGCTGGCCAAAGGTAACCCGACTCTCACCCATACCTCTCTGCTGGCCAAAGGTTACCCGACTCGCACCCATACCTCCCTGCTGGCCAAAGGTAACCCGACTCTCACCCATACCTCCCTGCTGGCCAAAGGTAACCCGACTCTTTCTTTAAAACTCGCACCCATACCTCCCTGCTGGCCAAAGGTAACCCGACTCTTTCTTTAAAACTCGCACCCATACCTCCCTGCTGGCCAAAGGTAACCCGACTCTTTCTTTAAAACTCGCACCCATACCTCCCTGCTGGCCAAAAGTAACCCGACTCTTTCTTTAAAACTCTCACCCATACCTCCCTGCTGGCCAAAGGTAACCCGACTCTTACTTTAAAACTCTCACCCATACCTCCCTGCTGGCCAAAGGTAAGCCGACTCTTTCTTTAAAACTCGCACCCATACCTCCCTGCTGGCCAAAGGTAAGCCGACTCTTTCTTTAAAATTCGCACCCATACCTCCCTGCTGGCCAAAGGTAACCCGACTCTCACCCATACCTCTCTGCTGGCCAAAGGTTACCCGACTCGCACCCATACCTCCCTGCTGGCCAAAGGTAACCCGACTCTCACCCATACCTCCCTGCTGGCCAAAGGTAACCCGACTCGCACCCATACCTCCCTGCTGGCCAAAAGTAACCCGACTCTTTCTTTAAAACTCGCACCCATACCTCCCTGCTGGCCAAAGGTAACCCGACTCTTTCTTTAAATCTCGCACCCATACCTCCCTGCTGGCCAAAGGTAAGCCGACTCTTTCTTTAAAACTCGCACCCATACCTCCCTGCTGGCCAAAGGTAACCCGACTCTTTCTTTAAAACTCGCACCCATACCACCCTGCTGGCCAAAAGTAACCCGGCTCTTTCTTTAAAACTCTCACCCATACCTCCCTGCTGGCCAAAGGTAACCCGACTCTTTCTTTAAAACTCGCACCCATACCTCCCTGCTGGCCAAAGGTAACCCGACTCTTTCTTTAAAACTCGCACCCATACCTCCCTGCTGGCCAAAGGTAACCCGACTCTTTCTTTAAAACTCGCACCCATACCTCCCTGCTGGCCAAAGGTAACCCGACTCTTTCTTTAAAACTCGCACCCATACCTCCCTGCTGGCCAAAGGTAACCCGACTCTTTCTTTAAAACTCGCACCCATACAAAGGAGTATATCTTATGTTAAGACAGGAAGCGCATAACACTGTCATGGCAGTTTAGGGGTTAAATGTCAGGATATTGAACAATGTAGTTGACGTTTTCTCCACATTAATTGTGTACATCCTTGCGACTTCATCATACCATTCTGACTCTACCTCCCCTCAAGTGCGCACTGTACCATTCCACATTGACTGTTTTAATGCTGATGCTTAGACGTATATAATGAGCCGTATTAGAAAACTGTGTAGAGCCGTTCCGAAGCAAATCACACACGTGCAGATCACAGGTATTCATGCAACAACAACAAAACGTGGATAGTTCATTGAACAAGTAATTGACATAGGGGCTATATTCGAAATTCAGAACTCTCTCTACATATTTTGTATCATGCACAATATTTCAGAGTATATGTCAAAATGCAGTGAACTCAGAGGACAAGCTGTATTTGGAAGTATTCTCTTCCAGCGTACTAATGTTATGATAGTATAAATGAATGTATTGGTAATATCTAGTACTTTGGTCGTTCTGGGCAGCGTATGGACTGGCATTTAAACCCCGTTTAGCAAAATGGCATATTACAAGATAGAAGTAAAACGTGTATTAAACCACGTCAAACGTGACTTTTGAGTATTGATCATGTTTCTATTTTTGTAGATCATCGTAGATATACTAAAGTATATAGTTATGGCCACTTTGTTTTTATCTGCATTTTCTATTTGTATACATACTGATGTTGTTGAAGATGAGTACCACTCTCACGTCAGTGTCTGGAACTATTCCCGGATAGCAGGGTTTGGCTTTCGTGTCGCTTATTGCGCCGTTTTTAGGAACCTCATCGGGTGAGCATTGCTTGTGTGCAAACATCTGTCTTGATGACTTTATTTATTAACATAGATCTCACTGCATTATCATTGTGTGCAACATCTGTCTTGAATTACGTTTTTGCATAATATAGAGCTCATTGCATTATCATTGTGTGCAAACATCTGTCTTGATGACTATATTTATTAACATAGAGCTCACTGCATTGTCATTGTGTGCAAACATCTGCCTTGATGACTTTATTTATTAACATGGAGCTCATTGCATTATCATTGTGTGCAAACATCTGTCTTGATGACTTTATTTATTAACATGGAGCTCATTGCATTATCATTGTGTGCAAACATCTGTCTTGATGACTTTATTTATTAACATAGAGCTCATTGCATTATCATTGTGTGCAACATCTGTCTTGAATTACGTTTTTGCATAACATAGAGCTCATTGCATTATCATTGTGTGCAACATCTGTCTTGAATTACGTTTTTGCATAACATAGAGCTCATTGCATTATAATTGTGTGCAAACATCTGCCTTCATGACTTTATTTATTAACATGGAGCTCATTGCATTATCATTGTGTGCAAACATCTGTCTTGAATTACTTTACTTATCGACAAAGAGCTCATCCTATAAACATTACTTTACGTATTGGCAAAGAGCTCATCCTATAAACATTACTTTATTTATTGACAAAGAGCTCATCCTATAAACATTACTTTATTTAATGACAAATAGCTCATCCTATAAACATTACTTTACGTATTGGCAAAGAGATCATCCTATAAACACTACTTTATTTATTGACAAAGAGTTCATACTACAAACATTACTTTACTTATTGACAAAGAGCTCATCGTATAAACATTACTTTACTTATCGACAAAGAGCTCATCCTACAAACATCAATTTACTTATTGACAAAGAGCTCATCGTATAAACATTACTTTACTTATCGACAAAGAGCTCATCCTACAAACATCAATTTACTTATTGACAAAGAGCTCATCCTATAAACATTGTGTGCAAATGTCTGGCTTGAAGTACCTGAACTTTCCTTCTTGACATAAAACTCGTCACACTGTTTCGCGTGCAAACATTGGCCTTGAACTACTTTACATGCCGACCTGGAGCTCACCACATTAACATGGTGTGCAAACATTGGCCTTGAACTACTGTACATGCCGACCTGGAGCTCACCACATTAACATGGTGTGCAAACATTGGCCTTGAACTACTTTACATGCCGACCTGGAGCTCACCACATTAACATGGTGTGCAAACATTGACCTTGAACTACTTTACATGCCGACCTGGAGCTCACCACATCAACATGGTGTGCAAACAATGGCCTTGAACTACTTTACATACCGACCTGGAGCTCACCACATTAACATGGTGTGCAAACATTGGCCTTGAACTACTGTACATGCCGACCTGGAGCTCACCACATTAACATGGTGTGCAAACATTGGCCTTGAACTACTTTACATGCCGACCTGGAGCTCACCACATTAACATGGTGTGCAAACATTGGCCTTGAACTACTGTACATGCCGACCTGGAGCTCACCACATTAACATGGTGTGCAAACATTGGCCTTGAACTACTGTACATGCCGACCTGGAGCTCACCACATTAACACGGTGTGCAAACATTGGCCTTGAATTACTGTACATGGCGACCTGGAGCTCACCACATTAACACGGTGTGCAAACACCAGTCGTGAATTGCTTTGCCGATCAACACAACGCCCATCCTATTCACATTGTGTACATATATGCCGCGAAATACGTTAAATATTATAATTCAATTGCAGTTCCATCGCCACTGGCAAATATATTGTCGTAAAATATGTTAAGATGGTAGTTACTGTTATCCTGCCTGGCGGTATTAGGGTAATGGACTTTCTGGCTCTGTCGGTATAAGTGCGAATGTAATGATGAAACATTTCAAAGTTTAGTGTACTAGTTATTGACCGCCTCTGCAAACATAAACTTTGACGAAATCGAAGCCCTAGAACGATCAAACTGTATACTTCCAAGGAGCTATGTCTGTGCAACTGAGAGATTACCATAGAGCAATAACCGAGTGAATCAGGCGTTCCAGCTTTTGGGAGGCAGGTGATGGAGAATCTAGACGTTTACTATTTGATGAAAAGCCACGAACATGGGTACAATGCCGAAAATTGGAGAGAATTCGTACACCCGATTCTAGCAACCTTTGCTAGACTTCCTGTCTTTTAGGACCGGTCGATTCAAGGTCAGATTCTAGCTCTAAACGAAGGTCCCTGTCTAATAGAACCGATCCTTTGTCAGATTCTAGCCCAAAACAAAGCTTCCTGTCTAATATAACCACTCCTTTGTCTGATTCTAGCTCAACACAAAGCTTCCTGTCTAACAGAACGGACCTTATCACAGAGTTCAGCTCATGTACAAGGCTTCATGTCTAATTGGACCAAACTATATCTCACTGTACAAAGTAGGGCTGACCCTACTCTGAGTAAGGATTCCTATCTCTAGGACCCATCGTATATATGTAAGCTTCTAGTGTCTGTGCAAGACTTCCTACCTGCAGCAGCGTCTGACGGGCCGGCATACAGTGGTAATGGAGGGCCTCCTTCACAAGCTTCTGGCAATCTGGGATGTCCATTAAGAAGGTAACAGACTCGACTCTGTCCACGATCTCAGATGGACTCAGAAGTGGGAGGCGGACTGTCTTCAACAGGTCGTACGCGAACTCCAGACGGTGTTGCCGATCCACTTCGATCCATTCCAACACACGATGGAAAACAAACACCTCACTTCTGGTGACGAGGTCATCACGGGTCAACAGACAAATCAGTTGTTCTACTGGCATAGACTTAAATTCTACTTTCCTGGAAACTGTTTCAAAATGGCTGGCAGCAATTGCTGACGATATTTCTGTCAAACGATCAAGGACGTGGGTGACCGATAGGTCCAATAGTGACAAACAGTTGTCCACATTGAGATGGTCGCTTAGGTATTCCTCACACGCTTCGTGGATTCCTAGAAACCCCAGAACTGAGGCTGCTGCCAGTATATCACGGACGTTCACGTCAGATAACTGCAGTCGCCCTGTGTACAGACACTCCAGAATAGCCTGCAAACCTGCAACACAGAGATAGAGTGGTTCAGCAGTCGGCCTGTATACAGACACTCCAGAATAGCCTGCAAACCTGTAACACAGAGATAGAGCGGTACAGCAGGTGGCCTGTATACAGACACTCCAGAATAGCCTGCAAACCTGTAACACGGAGATAGAGTGGTTCAGCAGTCGCCCTGTGTACAGACACTCCAGAATAGCCTGCAAACCTGTAACACGGAGATAGAGTTGTTCAGCAGTCGCCCTGTGTACAGACACTCCAGAATAGCCTGCAAACCTGTAACACGGAGATAGAGTTGTTCAGCAGTCGGCCTGTATACAGACACTCCAGAATAGCCTGCAAACCTGGAACACAGAGATAGAGTGGTTCAGCAGTCGGCCTGTGTACAGACACTCCAGATTAGACTGCAAACCTGTAACACGGAGATAGAGTGGTTCAGCAGGTGGCCTGTATACAGACACTCCAGAATAGCCTGCAAACCTGTAACACAGAGATAGAGTGGTTCAACAGTCGGCGTGTATACAGACACTCCAGAATAGCCTGCAAACCTCTAACACGGCCTGTATACGGACACTTCAGGTTCTACAGGAGGCCTGTGTGGAGAAACTTCAGATTACCCAGCACCCCTTCTACAAGGATATGGAGTGGTTCAGCAGGGGCCTGTATGCATAAACTTCAAATTACCCAGCAACCTTGCAACTCAGAGATTGAGTGGTTCAGCAGGAGGCCTGTATACAGAAATGTCAGGTTAAACTGCAACCTTGCAACTCAGATACGGAGTGGTTCAGAAGGGGGCCTGTATACAGAAATGTCAGGTTACACTCTAACCTTGCAACTCAGATATGGAGTGGTACAGCAGGATGCCTGTATACAGAAATTTCAGGTTAAACTGCAACCTTGCAACTTAGAGATGGAGTGGTTCAGTAGGGGGGCTGCATACAGGAATTTCAGGTTAAACCGCAACCTTGCAACTCAGATATGGAGTGGTTCAGCAGGAGGCCTGTATACAGAAATTTCAGGTTAAACTGCAACCTTGCAACTCAGATATTGAGTGGTTCAGCAGGAGGCCTGTATACAGAAATTTCAGATTAAACATGATGCATGAGTACATGATGCAGACACTTCAGATTCACCAACACAGGTTTGGGAGTACATGATGCAGACACTTCAGATTCACCAACACAGGTTTGGGAGTACATGATCCAGCACGAGAATGGGAGTGAGGTGGATAGAGGGCGCATAAAGGTTTTCTACACAGTTAGTTTTTCGGGATTTACGCCGCTGTGAGCAATATTTCAGCAACTTCAAGACAGTCAACAGCCCGCCCCGTTAATCAACTCTCCTGATTGTATACAAAATAAATCAATGTCCTTTGAGGTCTTGGTTCATTCCATGGAATATACAATGTGGAATTATTGTCAGCTGGTCTTTAAAGTACGTACGGCTGTGAATGCATTCCGAATAGCAGCTTGAGTGGGGTATAAAATACCATCTCCAGCTTGCAGGACCACAAATTCCCGTCACTGTATTTTGTGTTTATTCTGTCATTGAGATTTAGTGTTAGGACAAATCAGAGTAATTTCTCCTTATATTCCAGCACTTTGAAACATTCAAGCGTCTTGAACTGGTTGTACAGTACAATATGTCAACTAATGCTTGCAGATAATACAAGATATGTGTAGAGATTTAAAAAATCCGATATCGTTCGTCATATCGCCATGATCTCTGATTGAAGACGACGCCTAGTTCCTGGATAGCTGACAGCTGACAGACCCGTTGTGCAGTCGTCCCTATGTGATGCTAAAGAGATCATTCGTCTGACTGCATGTCTGAATCGGGGGTGGATTCCAAATTATCGAGTCTGGGCGAGGATACCAGATCACATACTTACATGCATGATTATCTATCAACGCAATCGGGACACGATGACCAACTACTTCTAGGTCACACTTTGACCTCGTAATTCTGCCCACGAATATTCTAGATATAAGACTTATTCTTCTTTAGTAAATCAACGGTTAAGGAACAAATCTGGGGTCTCGTGGCTTCACTCACTCTCTCATGTTCCGATGACACTGCAGAGATAACGTACACAAATCATACATGCGTACATTCGCGTTACGTCTTGTGCGCATACTGTGATTTGGTACCGCATTTCGAGATATCCCGAGCTATTCCGAAAACGGCCGACTGACTTTTTGTAATTCACGGAAACAGACAAATGGTGATCGTCTTTGTCTGCATCGATTGTATACATGGTCATCCCTTAAAGGTCAACATATTCAATAAGTTCCTGGGAGCAGGAAGTTGTCACGAATGACCTTTAACCACCGACGGAAGATAAATGAATTTGAAAGATAACCCTTTGATATCATGAAAAGTCTCATTTTGGCATTGACATACACTAAGAAAATTCTTTGTTCGCGTGCTACGTTAACCAAGTGTTATTTGGCCCTCACAGACAGAGCGTTCGTCTTTCATCCGGCGGTATCAGTCATATCGTTTAACCATTCACTGTTAAGGTAGATAGGACTGCCATTACCCCGTGTATTTCAAAGAACTGAAATTGTTTTTGTTACAATGGATTTTAAAGTGGAAAAATGAGTTTACGCCATTTTCAATTTGGGAGGATGAAATACTAAATAATCATTTAATATTTTCAGGTCGAAACAAATTTAACACCCCCAAATGTAGAGACATGGCTATCTCAACAGGTAGTCTTAAAGAGAGGGCAGGTGAAAGACGGAATAAATCAAATATTTTTTTATCCTAAAACTATTCACACATATTGTTACCTGTCACATCAGATATTTTGAAACGTAAATTTAGACGTCTAGGCAGTAGGCAACTGGAAATATATGGCATAACACATATCAAATTTTAACAGTCCTTAAGAATAACGTGTCTTAAGATGCTCAGTCTAGTCATGAAACTAACAAGTATACGTGGAATTTGCATCTCATCATTCCAGTTAAGATGATAAATAAATCTGAATGACGTCAATTAAATATGATCGGTTGTATCACTGTCCTATAACTGTCGATTTCAATGGTACTTAATGACAGGGTGCTATAACATATCTGCATGATTTTATTGTTAATTTGATCAGATCGTGTACTTGCTCATGCCAATGGCGAAAATTTAATATGCTTTTTAATAACATGTATCAGATAGACTGAGCACAGGAGAACGCCCGAAGGTTCGAATATGAAACTGAAGCTTAAAACGGCCCTCTTGCCCACACAAACTGACCTTGGCGTTTTGCGCATCTTGCATGCTTAAATACATGTACCACCGTTTTGCGTATCTTGCATGCTTAAATACATGTACCACCGTTTTGCGTATCTTGCATGCTTAAATACATGTACCACCGTTTGCGTATCTTGCATGCTTAAATACACGTACCACCGTTTTGCGTATCTTGCATGCTTAAATACATGTACCACCGTTTGCGTATCTTGCATGCTTAAATACATGTACCACCGTTTTGCGTATCTTGCATGCTTAAATACATGTACCACCGTTTGCGCATCTTGCATGCTTAAATACATGTACCACCGTTTGCGTATCTTGCATGCTTAAATACATGTACCACCGTTTGCGCATCTTGCATGCTTAAATACATGTACCACCGTTTGCGTATCTTGCATGCTTAAATACATGTACCACCGTTTGCGTATCTTGCATGCTTAAATACATGTACCACCGTTTGCGTATCTTGCATGCTTAAATACATGTACCACCGTTTTGCGTATCTTGCATGCTTAAATACATGTACCACCGTTTGCGTATCTTGCATGCTTAAATACATGTACCACCGTTTGCGTATCTTGCATGCTTAAATACATGTACCACCGTTTGCGTATCTTGCATGCTTAAATACATGTACCACCGTTTGCGCATCTTGCATGCTTAAATACATGTACCACCGTTTGCGTATCTTGCATGCTTAAATACATGTACCACCGTTTTGCGCTAGCAAGTCCAGGGCAGTAAAGCTGACAAAAAGTAGAAGAATATTTTAACAGCCATGGCTGTATGTACAATGTCAGGCGCTCACAGAGCCAGCTTGTAATCAAATAAAATATTGTCTAGACTATATTGGTTTGCTAATACATTCCTTTCTACAGAAGACGAATGAACGGCGCACGTTATCCCCAAACATACAAATATATATCTATCTATATGTATATATCTACTCCTATTCCGCTGTAAGTCATGTATCCTTGTAAAACTGTCCATAATCGATTTCGGGGGCGTTTGTGCTGTGTTATCTTTATGCATGACAACCATACAGTTTTTAACACAGAGCTGAGTTAATGATAGCACAGTGTGGAGGGCAAATCACATTTCAGATGAGAAGTAAATTATTCGGACGTCATAAGAGGCGTTTGTAGTGGGTTCTCTAAATACTACTTTCATGTTTTCATACAAAAACAGAAGTAAGAGAGAGATTAGGCTATTACATTCAAGTACGCACTTGTGCAGCTGCTTGTACAAGTCTACACTGTAAAGAGCTAGCTCACTGAGATACCATACCGGGGTTTAACACAGACACATCACTCGGTCACAGTACTCTTCCACTGGGCCAAACAGGGAGCGCCAGGCATAGTAAACTTAAGTTCCATCTATAATGCCCATGGACAGGGGATCGAACCACCGACTCTCCTCTCTCTGGGTAGACGCACTATCCACTACACCATCGCCGAAGAGTACATATCATGTGACCTGACAGATACTATTCAGGGCCCCTTTCACAAAGCTATCGTAGCGCTGTGACTGTCGTAAGTCTAGGATGCTCCGAAGGTGCTGTATGAAATCAATCAGTGGTGAGTCTAATTCAAACTGAACATGTTATACCGTTGTGGCCATTTGTAATGTGGTTGATGTCATGCATTCTGTCTGAGGGTCACACAGTGTCGACCACTATTTCATATACGTCCCCCACACGTCCCCCGATACTCCACATGGTCCACATAGCTTGACCCTCAAACGTTGAAGGGGAGGTTGGTAACCCAGTGGTTAAAACGTTTGCTCGTCACGCCGAAGACCGGGTTCGATCCCCCACATGGGTAACATATGTGAAGCCCATTTCTAAAAGTGGCGTAAAACTAAATGTTGAAAGCTTGAGGCAACAGAACCGTAAAGATTCGAATTGAGAAACGACATGGCAGAACAGACATACCCCATGTTGCAATATATGATCTTCGACCTCGTAGGATACAATGCTCCTACAAATCACATTTTGTACTGCTACGAATTCCCACAGTATGAGAGTGGGAAAAGGTCGGTGCCAACATTGACATTACAGAAGAGTTCCTTTAAGAAACATTTATGTTTTGGTTAAGCTGAAGTGTAGCAATTCATATTTATATAGGTACGTGTACCCCCATAATATGTATTTATTCTTCCCTGCCTATAATTTGATGATGCATAGTCAAAACATCGCCATATATAAGTCAAAGCTTTGCGCTAACCCCTAATTCTTTTATCCCGTGTTATATTATTACGTATTGCCTTGGAAACTGACCTGTGTATGTGGCATTGACAAAATGACGAAATGGACATGAAGATTTGTCCGGACAGTAAACTGATTGGATTGGCAGCGGTTGTAGTAACATGTAAATACGCTTCTACGTTCAGCTACATACTTGGCCTCGCTTCCACACTCACCCGTGGCCTTGACATCATTCAGCTCCACCTTGCTAGCTTCCGCGTCGTGACCCCGGGTGAACTTGTCGTAGAAGAAGTCGGAACAAGACGCCAAGACCAGTTTATGAGCCAGGTAGGTTTTATTTTCGACCACTACTGCGACGTCTGTCATCTGCTTGTGTTTCCATAAGGTCTCCAAACCCGACAAGATGCACTCTCCAATATGGGGGACGGTCTTACGATTTGTTTTGTCGTCAGGACCTGCCCTTGAACGGCGACGGTTGAGGATGGCTCGGTAGCTGTCTGTGGAAGCTACCGAATTAAGCGCACCCCGACTGGGGCGTTTATTCATCCCTGCTCTTTGACCGCAGCCATACGTCCAGCATCTGTCCTTACTTCGGCATCCGTACGATTCCGAGTCTGACGTCATAGAGTAGTGACGTCATGGAGAAACCTCATCACTGTTCGGACTGACGTCATAGAATAGTGACATCATAGAGAGAGTCAACCCTCTTCAGCTGAGCCCCGACTCTACTTTCTAACGAAGCGCATAGAGGGATTGATTGATTGATTGATATTTATTTATTTATTTATTTATTTATTTATTTATTTATTTATTTATTTATTTATTTATTTATTTATTTATTTATTTATTTATTTATTTATTTATTTATTTAAATATGTTTTCAATTATGTTAATGTTAACCCATCTGTGATGTCATCATTTTATGCATACTTTATTCAGAGTATTTTAACATTTTCCCTCCACTGTTGGTACGGGACTCTCTCAGTTCATCTCAAATCTAAAATATACAAAATTGTTAATACTACAAGTAAAATCAGATTTAGGACTGGAGTCAGATTTGAATGTTTACCATCAATATATGAGCGACAAATCGTGAATCAAGCTGTCAAAATTATATCTGACCTAACTCACTACTTAAATTCGGAATCCAACCTCCTCCCTTCAGGCCGCCGCTACAAAGTTCCAATTGTGAAAACTAAGAGAGCCCGTACACCCTTTATTCCGAGTACCATATCTCTCTTAAACAAATGTGAAGATACCTAAATCAAAGAATTTATGTAAATATGTTTGGTATCTCTCTAATGTGTCAGTAGCTCTGCTGATGTAACACAAATTCCTGAAAAGGCATTAAAGTATTATTCTAATCTATTCTATTCTAAACCTCCTGTACTCATCTACATGCATGTTTATTAATAGTTAAGAAACATATTGCATGGTTACGTACAAGGATAACATATTTCCACTAACATTCAGGGTACATATATGATGAAAATGTGCAACGAGTGATATAATCTGTTCCTATGGTATACGGAATAATAGCCTTTGGAAGCTATAAAGACATCAATATACAGGAAAGACAAAACCGAGAATTAATTCCATACATTGTAAGTAGGGAAATCGATAACGGTATCCGCATAGACATCACATTTCAAAGTCCAAAGATCCATCATCGAAATAGATATACACACATGATACTCGAAATCATGTCAGGTCGAGCGTGTTTACAACAAAACTGTCAAAAGAAACTATGTCCATTTCAGTACAGTGGGATTGATTTCAATGTTAATGTTATTTATGCCAGTGTTGTCAATATCACTTGAAATGCATTCCTCAGGTGTGAGATATCAATCAATAATGTGTCAGATGTAACCGGGTACTGGTAATTAATCATGGATGTCCGCCAGGCGACATTTAACCTTTGCAGGCATGTTAAACCTTCTGCGTTTGATTCCCTTAATCCGGCAATCTAGGCTCTCTAATAGCGATGTCGTGTTCGTGTTGATTACACTTTGTTTAAAACGGAATTCAATTTCTTGACTTAAAAGAGATTGAGACATGATATTATTTCAGGAATGTCGTAACAACAAACGCTACCTAAACATTCATCATTACGGACACAGTCATATGAATCACGGCGACGGGGCTACAGAGCAGCACATCTCGCTACTGGTCGTGCGATTGACAGGCGAAGGGTGGTTTACCGTCACCATAAAAACTGACCTTTTCTATCAATTTTGTTAAAATAAACATGTCCATAATTTTCTCATAAAGTTCCTTAGATCACAAAGTTCAGGTCTTTTAGAGGAGACACACAAGGCGTTATACTATATAGTGGTGAAAAGGTTAAAGCGTGCGTGGGCGACATATTCAATATTATTTAGATGACAAAATATGAATAAGGTCAATTAATTGCCCAGTTCAAAACAACACATTCCGATTGATTTCATAAAATCATAAGATAATTCGTGGAAATAGAGATTCATATTATTCCGACAGGTAAAATATCCAATTTGTCCTTCTATATTTGTTCCCTAAGAATGCGGAGGATGGTTTTGGTAATAGGAAACAAAAACGATATTTTCTTTCGACATAATGTTACTGCATAATATGTTGAAAACGACATGGAGTGAGTGAGTGAGTTTAGTTTTACGCCGCACTCAACAATATTCCAGCTGTATGGCGGCGGTCTGTAAATAATCAGGTCTGGACTAGTCAATCCAGTGATCAGCAGCATGAGCATCGATCTACGCAATTGGGATACGATGACATGTGTCAACCAAGTCAATAATAGCGATTGTAAACCAAAAGTCACTGTGTTGTTTAATCTGATTGGTTGAAACACGTGATCAAATGGTATTCGATTCCCGGAAATTCGCTGCGTATTAATACATACAAACATCGCTCACACCATTGTATTGTTACGTCGTCAGCTGTGATGACGTCATTAAATCATATTGTGACGTAAAGTCCGAATGACGTCACAAATGAGCAGTTCCAGATGCTACCATGGGAGACAGTCGAAACGGCCGGCTGATGACATTTCAATGCTGTACCCGTACTCGATGTCAATGAGTGCAGACACAAAAACGTGTGTGGACCTTTTGGCTTACTTTTGTGCTTACAATGTCGATAAACATCATGTGTTGGCCAATGTCCGGACGTTATTGAGTATTTGAAGCACGGGAATATTTCATTTGAAACCTCCGGCTGACGGCGTCGGTTCCAAATGAATTCCTGTGCTAAATTGGCCAACACATGATGTTTATCTCCTAATTTGAAACTGAAGCATTAAACACCTGTTAAAATGGTGCCTTTGATATTTTGGTAGTTGGCGTCCTTGTTTTACTTACTACACAGTGTCTGCAGCTGGGACACATTTACAGAGTGAGTGAGTGCCTATAGTTTTACGCCGCTTTCAGCAATATTCCAGGAATATCAAGGTGGGGGACACCAGAAATGGGCTTTACACATTGTACCCATGTGGGGAATCGAACCCGGGTCTGATGAGCGAACGCTTTAACCACAAGGCTACCCTACCACCCCCATTTATCAGAAACTACTGAAGTTACTTAATACTGTAGCGTTTTGACAATAATATTTTACCATTATTACATGCCTGACACTTCGCAAGCTTATCTGAGTGACACTTAACAAGACCGAGTTCGAAACTTCGACACATCACCTTTTTCTAGATTTACGTACCCTGCTTCATGTCTGTTTACAGAAGTAAGGTCCTTACTGACGTGGTAAAACTTGTCAATATGTGTGTCCTATATGATAAATATAACAGTTTCGTTATTGAGATCAGTTAAATTTAAGAATCACGTGTTCCAACGTACTGTCTAGAACTCCTCTAAATAAAGAATTTTTACTTCATTGTTTTGTTTCCTGGTTTTAAAGTCTGTCGCACAAGGTTTTGCCAAATCAGAAGATTCCAACACACATCTTGGTTTCAGTCAGGCCATAAAATGTGTGTGTTACTGTAACACTTGGGTAGTATAATACATATATGTACGGAGGTGTTGTAATTTTGTTGAATGTTAAATTAAAGAAGGTACATGCGTGGTCCTTTGGGATTATTTTCGAAAACAAGTAACGTAAATGTTTTCAGAAGTGTTTTGATTGTGACTTATATGTCAACGCCTCACTTTCCTCGCCCAGTTGACGGGTTCGTGACATGCCCTGAAATGGTCGATATGCCCGGATGCTGACAACAGCACCCATGCAGTTCTCATCACTGTGTTCAGGCTGATGTAGTCTGTCTCAAAGTCCACGAACCACATTATTTCTCCCGCATAGCGAGTTCTGCAGTACATAAGCTTTACGTGAATAGAAGTAAGTCTAGATTTCCTCAAAATCTCTCGTCTCAATTAGGCTTTTTTTCTGTTTATATGGAATTATTTGTTTCCATCAATTTATTATGTAGGGACTTTAGAAGTGTTGCGGGGTGGTCATCCTCGGTCCTCAAGTTCTGGGACTGCCTGGTATCTGGCCAGTCTTGTTGTCGCGTCTCATTAATGTGATGATGGCCTGCCTTGTACATTCAAACAGCTGGCAATATTTGTGTGTTTGTTGTGGCCGCTATATGGCGGTGATGGCAATGTGTAATGACTGTTTGAAGCATCCATCTGCAACATTCAAATAGCTCGTTCGCGGATAATTTTGATGTTTGCCTTTAACAGGTACACCACTAACAATCTCAGTCTACTGTGTATGACACTGTTGCAGTGTTGGCACATCACATGCACGTGCGAATCAACAAAATCATGATTTTCATTATATCCCATGCTCAACTCTGTTAAGGATATCTGTAGTGTTTTGACAGCGTGTACTACAATGTTTGTGGCAATCAAAACCCTTTTCAAAATATTTACGTCATTTTGGGGGAAATAATAGCAAAACACCACATGTGTACTTTCATGTGTATGTCTATCATTGTTCAGTAGCCACCATAGTCGATAAGGACATGTCTTCGCCTTCGGGCTTCGATGGGGGTCAAAGTACATGTTTTATTGTTTTATACCTGTGTTGGATTTCAAACAAACGTCTGTGCAGTGCGAACCCAGTTATAAAGCACTGAGCCACATTCCAGGGGTTTTGCCCCGAATCTGAACGTGGAGGAGACAATATCAATACGGCAGGATTTTACAGGCGCTTTAGTCATAACAGGTGGCAGTCTCAACGTTTCCCGGAGGTCTTTCACAAGTGTCTTTGCTCGTCTGTCTACACATTATCATCATGCCTGTCAAACCAGCAATTCCTGATTACCCTGTGTACACTGTGTCAGTTTCTGATACCATCGAGGCCCTTAAAGCTTAGCGTAGAGTTTCCTGAACAAACGGTCTGAAGCGAAATAGATGGTAAAAGTAGATTATTTGCTGTACCCCATCGGTCCAAATACCCATTGTGCAAGTGAAATTTGTGATCTGTGTGGTGTGGACTATACTGCACAAATCAAATGCATGAGCCCGGTTAGACTAATGCTTAGTCTCTGAATATATATAATTTTGATAGTAACAAACAAGCCCATTTAAATTGAAAAGGAGCCCCAGGGAGACCAGAGATTCAGAACCTGAGGAAATCTAGACTTGCTTTAGTTAGGGCTTTAGCACTGCAGAGAGAGC